CCCCAAAACCCCAAAACCCCAAAACCCCAAAACCCCAAGCGACAGATATTAGAGTAAAATAATGTATTAATAATATAAATTGCTTAAGTTATATTTATTCACAATAATTTGGATGAATTTTGATTAATAAATCTGTATTTTGATGATGACTTTATGTGAGGCCCTAGCAACATTTGAATTTCTTATTTAACTCCACCTCCAACTATACCGTTAAAACTATTATTGGTAGTGTTCATAGATTTGCTTTGGGGCTTAATACTATTGTCATTCATGAGTTTTTTAAGTTTCTCTTAGAATGTTATCTTATTGTTTATAAGGGTTTAAATTTGCTATTCTCCTTTCATTTTATTCTCACAAATATAAGGTTATTGCTATGTTATATTTCTGAATTGATTAAGCTATTAATTATGTTGATAATTTATTTTATTAGTAATATTACTCGACTTTTTTCCTTAAATGATAACACCTGTCTAAGATTAACCATAGCTAGATGGCTAAAAATAGGGATGTAGGTCTTATTAATAATAGTCATTTACCATTTTTATTTAGCCTTCTTCATTTTGGTGAGTTTAAAATTCATTCTAAATTGTTCTTTAAGATTAAAATTGATCGTTGCCTAAATATTAATTACTATAGTGCTGATATAGCCCCTAGAGCCTACTAATTTCACCTCTCATCACTTCTTTTATGTTTTCAGTCTCAGTTGAATTATGATCGAAATAGCCTCCTAAAGTTGATGTGGGCAATTAATACACATCATTAGATTTCCCTTGAGAGTCTCCCATGTTTGATCTAGGCTGCGTAAAGACTTAATTTGTAGTTTTATTTGCAATATCGTATTCAGTTTTTACCTAACCATTTTCATTATAGATATTGAACTCAGTCTTTTCATCTTGTTGCAATGGTCCTCCCTTATAGTTATCTTGATCTTATCTCTCAGTCAGACTAATATGATTTCTATGCTGGGTAGACCGATCTCTACATTCAATATCTCTGTTTCTCATTGAGGTATCCTCATTATCTATTAGCATTGGATTAATTGTTGGACTCATAAAATGAGAAGTCTCATTCACCTAATTACCATAAGTTTTCTCTGGTGAGATAATTTTCCTAGCTGATTAGCTCAGTCTCTGGCCCTAAAGAATTTTTTATTCAGAATGATCCTCCCCACTACTGTAGCCTGAAGCTATATTTTATTTGAGAATCTCAAATGATGCATTTTTATTTTCTGCTTTTATTTATTCATAGTTTATATTCGAAAATCTTTTTGAATTCTCGGAATTTCCAATTACTTAAGGTTGGCCTGCATTATCAAACAAGGAATAATCAACAAAGTTAGAGTTTCTATTTTGTTCTACTGAGTTATTCATATTTATAGGTGATATCTAATTCATATCAATCTGCATAATCATAGAGCTATTAGAATCCTGTTTGTATTAAGTTGCTAAATTAAGAGGTTTTATCTAAGACAAGCTATTATTTTAAGTGGTCTTACCATTCAGGTTCCTGTAAAATGGATGCTAATCCCTAATGTTGCTTACATAAGCTTAGCTTTAAAGATCGATCTAGGATCCTTTTTGGTTGATTGAATATAGTGTCTTTTAACTTTGAAGATTGCTTTATTCCTAAGTAACTCTATAGGAATATCTTTTCTAGTCGTTTTAGCACTTCAATTTTTCATCAATATGGCTTTCAGTATTGAATGCACTTACTTACACAAAATCTTTTCGCATTTAAAGAGCTTTATATATTATGCTTAAAGGTGTCGTATCTTAACAAGAGTCTGCAAAGTTTTATGAGGGACTCTTACTTCTGCTTTGAGAATTTCGATCTATTGGCGCTTTATAGAAGTTTACCATTGACTGATTTCTCCTGGTACTTATTTGAGAGTCAACAACTTTAGATGTTTTGATACCACTATTGAGTAAATTATTCCTTAAAAAGCTACTCTAATTATACATACTTGCATTATTGGCTCTTCTCTCACTTTTTTTAGCATTATAATCTCTTTTACTTTTTGAAAAACCTAGCCTAAGCATTCTATCTTCCAATTTTGATGTCGTGTCTTCTATAGACATATTACCACAATCATCACTCTATGTATTAACGATCACTCTAGTCTGAGTCAAATCATTAGTCACATCCTAAGTATTTTCTCTGCCACTGTTCATTCCATCATTTTCTTCCTCCTTAATTTCACTTTAGTACAAAAATTGTTTGTTTGAGTTAACATTCGGGTTGATTTTCTAAAAACTGTTATTTGAACTTAGTGATCTTTATTTTGCTTGTCTCTAGCTAGTATTGTTACAGCTATCTTCTTTCTTAGGAGTGTGTCTTTAACTTACTCTGGTATGATCGAATGAGCCCCCCGTTCTAATTTATGAAGGATGTGTATTAACTGTCTGATAGTTTGACGTTTCACTTAGGAGCTTTTTAATACTATTTTAGACTAAGAGTGAAATATTATTGTAATCCAGATCGATTTTCTTTAATTTTGTAGAATTTTTTACCGACTTCTAGACAAGGAGGCTCATTATATATGCCCCTGTTTTAAATCCTAGGTTATTTCTTGAAAGATTTATATTTTCGATGGGGCATCTGTAGTTATCATAGGAATAAGTAGTTTGAGTTCCAAGAATAGGATTTTTCTTTGACTTTTTATCTTAGACTAGTTACACAGAGTTAAGAACTGCTGTTAAAAAGGCTTTTGCATTTTTATCTCCCATTTTCGTATTTGAAACATCAAGCTCTACTAAATGAACTAGACTTTTGGACTCTAAGAGTTATATCAAGGCTAGATGGAAGTTATTCCCAACTGGAATTGAAGATAGATTTAGAGATTATAATCTGAGTCTTGGAAGTAGATTTATCAATTGAATGGCGGTTGCATCATTAATTCCTGTTTTCTCCAAACTTATTAAGGTTAAATAATACAACTTACTTGAGATAATCAATTTTATTAGGTTTGTCTAGATAGGCAGTAAGCATTCTCACACAAGTCTCTTTAAAATAGATATTTTGTGAGAAGTTTAGGCCAGTAACAATATTAGGGTAAATCACCATAGATTTTATCAGTGGGATCAAAGTCTGTTCATTAAGACCTTAATTACTCAAATTTATTACAATAGATTCTATAAATTCATTAATTAATGCTATATTTACAAGAATGGTTTTTGTAACTTTCATCCAGTGCTAGAAGTACATTTTAGTAAGGCTCTTAGCAAATTGCAGAGTTAGTATAATTACTAGTATTGACGGAGCAGTAGCTTAGATAGCTGCTCTTAAATTGTAGAAGCATTTAAGACATTTTATTTGTTAAAATTTGTAATTTTAATACCTATTAATATCAAAATAATAGTTGTTACTGTTTTCTCATAATTATATTAATTTACAGTTAAGTCCTTAAGAGTAAATGTGAAAAAATTAAAAGTAGTTAATTAAAACTCATGATTTCATGCTATTAAATGAGAAAGGGAGTTTGAGTTTTATTCTTAAACAAATTAATATAAGTAAGGGTAAGTTAAATCAGGAGAGATGGATTATATCAGTTATTTCAAGCTATCTAATAAAGCTTTTAGAAAATTTCTAACTCATTAGGTCATTTTCTGAATAAATTTGCTCTATATTGAGCAGTCTCTCTAATTTTTTCCGAAGAAATTCTGAGATCTATAGCCCATTCTGTGGCCAGTATAGCCAGTAACTGGCACTTTCAAATCTTGATTAAAAGGGTCTCCACCGTTTGAGGAAGCTTTGGGTGAGAAAGCCACTGCTCTTTAGAAGCCGTTTGATAAACTCTAGAACTCCTATGTATTTTGTACATTAACATCCTTTAATCTATGTCTCAATGGATTGAGATTAAAGAAGGGATCTTTTCTATGATCAGTTGTCACAGTAATGGGACGATAGATTGATTTATATCCTGCGTAACCCACAGTAGGAATTTCTAAATAAACGTTTTTTCTTTCAATTTATATTCCTTAGAATCTATAAATTAAAATTAAACAGAAATAATATTACGCTGCATCATTGAATGTAGAAGCATCTTTCAAGTCTTTCATATCGGCTGGAGTCTAGGTGCTAGTCATAAATCTTCTAAAGTTATCTTTATTGAACTCATTTGTGTTCTAACTCTTGAATCTCTCGACTACTGGAAGGTCAACACCCTAAATATATTCCTTGTTGATGGCTTGAGAAGTTGATCTTGCATATGATTTTCCAAAAATATTTTCTGCTTTAATACTTGGAATATATCCCTTATAGCCTGGAATATGTTAAGCTTTTATATTTTGAGTTGGACCTCCTATCCAATTGGTTCCATATTTTGAGACATTTCCGAATTGAAGTTACTAGGTCTATTTATCTTATTCAGGTGGTCTTGAATAAAATGTTCTTTAAGCAAATGGAAGCTTAGCTCCCTGTTGAGCTGCAACATCAATGTCATAATTAGAAGGTTTGTAGGCCTATTTAGTAATAATGCGGTTTATGTCACCAGTGGTGCATCCAAATATATCATTTTTCTTTGGAACATGCCCTGTATATCCAGGCAAGTACTCTTTGCGATAGTCAATGTCACCCATAATTAACAGTCTAAATTTATTTTATTTTAAGATTTCTTCAAATTATATAAAAATATTGAGTTACGGGGTTTTGGGGTTTTGGGGTTTTGGGG